TGTAATTTTATATTCTACCCCTTTTTAAGAACCTACACCTACAACGTACCTTACAATTTTTTTAATCCAACATGAATTTATATACACTTATTTAATATATATTTATAGCTAGCATATTTAATACAAATGAAAAGAATATTTACTTATCCTAGTCATATACTTTAAAGCCTAAGAAAGCACCCACCACCACCGTAAGCTTTTTCTGAAATGGATTTTAACTCACCTTCACTGATCACAAAAATGTAGTAAGATGCTAAACAGATGAAATATATTGATTATGATTCAAAGAGAAAGATCAGTGAGAAAAACTGTCTATTACCCAAAAACTATCAATAATCAGCATAAAGTTCAAACTAGAATATTTAAAAACAAATCTAGTAATTGCTTACTGAATCTATTTTGTGCCAAATACTGTGCTCAAACAGCATTGTACAAGTAAGTTTTCATTATGAATTTAAGTTGAAATGGCCTTACACTAGCTGAGTTCCTTACCTGATTTGTTTAAAAAAGTAAGGATGCTTGGTTTATGCAGCAGTTGGGAGCATCATTGGCTCTAGCGGGTATCGAAGATGGTGCCCAAATCTGGTCCTGCTAACTTCTAGGTGTTACGATCTTACGCAAGTTATTTGGGTTTCAGTTTTCTCATATGTAAAGAGAGGACTTCAATAGTAGGAACCTCACTGAGACCTTTTAGAAGAATTAAATTAGGTATTTCATGAACCATGCTAAGCACTGTACCCAGCACATAGTAATCACTTAATCTTAACTACTATTAGAAGCAGCAAGTAGTAGTTTATTGGTATTATCACTTTAATCTAGAATCTGCAGGGCTAAAATGCACTCTCCGGCTGCTGATGGTTTTCTGAATGGTAAGAGTGTCATTCTCCATTAAGTCAGGCCCTCCCACCTTCTTGGGACTAGGGTAACAAAATCCATTAAGAATTGTTTCCTATATCCATATTAAAAAATCTAATATTAAAAATATTTTCTACAATCTACAGAGTATTTAAATACTGATGTTCTTGTTATGGAAAATGCTAGCAGAATGAGCAGTGTCTAATTTGGTTATAGTGTTTCTTAGCTCCAGTTAATGATTCTTTACAACAAAGGCTGAGTTCTCATCCATGCCACAGTCACCCTCAATTGCTACAGAAACCCTATAGTGCAGGACAAGAAGAAGAAACAAAGTTAAGTTGTAGCCATAGTCCTCAAAATTCTTTCCTGTAAGAACCTGAAACTAATGGCCTTTTTGTGGCTGAATTCCACATACACATTTCCATCCTTATCTTACTTGACCCTTCTCTAGCATGTGACACTGTTGATCACTTTCTCCTTGAAAATCTCTTACTTCTGGCTTTCCCATCAGTGGTGTCCTTTCTCTTAACCGCCCCCCCACATTTAAACGCCAGTGTTACCCCCAAGATTCTCTAATCTTATTTTATAGGCATGTAAGACAAAATGCCTACAGGGCCTTATGGGTGGGCAGGGGGGCAGACTTTGGCAAACTGCTCACCTAAAGGAGGCTGACTCAAACCGGGTTCCAGCAAGTTGTTGTCAGGATAAGAGGAAGCAGACCCAGGGTTTCCATATCTTCCAATTTTTCAAGGGAAGATAAAAATCCAGATTTTCCCACAAAATCTCCTAATTTTTTTTTTTAAGTCAGCAGTTCCTTTAAACTGTTAAAATACAAGATGTGTGACCTTGAGCAAGTTACTTTACAAACCTGATTCCTCATCTATGAAATGGCAGTGATAAAACCACACACAAACACACAAAAAGTGCGGGTCAAAAACATTTCTACAGACTTTCATCTTAGTTTCTGTATCCACCCCTAGACTACAGGTCACTATCCCAGGTTTTAAACCAAATGTACAGAAATTGTGAATGTACATAAATGCATTTCTCTGGAGAACGGTCCATAAAGTTCATCAGATTCTCAAAAAAGACTTACAACCACTGACTCAGTCAAAACTTCCAACTTGTACAACTTCAACTGTGTTCCGTACGAGGATGAGTCCCAAACCTACCTGCAGTCCACCTGCGCAGCCCACCTCACCTCACCTCTGCGACCAGCCTCTCCACTCACTTCTCCCACTGCCACTGCCACACCTCAGCTCAAACTCTCCATCGCTTCTCAGCAGCTGTCTCACTAGTCTAACTCCAGCCTTTCCCTCCTTGATGCCACTTTGTACAACTCAAATCCTCTAAAACGCAAACGGTTTATCTGTCCAAAGGCCTTTAAGGTCTGCTTATAAATGTAAAAGGAATCCAACAACTACTTAGCCTAACATATAAACTCCTTAGACCTGACCAGACTGACCTCTCCCTCACCCACTATTTATTCCTATTCCCCAAATTCCTACCATTTGCAATACAGAATACTCTTTTGTCCGTAGGCATTTATTCATACTTGCAGGTCCTACCTCCAGGAATGCTTTTCTAACTCCTCCCATTCATTTAGGGAAGAAACCCTAAAAGCCCAGAAACCTGTACAATCCTCACTGTCAGGCTTACCCCTAGGCTGGAATAAATAGGTTTCCTTCCTCCAGGCTAATCTATCCGGTAGCATTCACTGTAGTAAAAGTCAGTTTTGTTTTCCTTCTCTATTAGAACAAAACCTCAAGGGTAGAAAAGGTGTCTCTGTACGGAGAGGCCAACAGTTACTCCAAGGAAGCTAATCTGTTAAATGAATGAAAACAGCACAAGTTTCAGCAACTCCTACCACGCCTCAGGCAAATACCCCACCCTTCCCAGGTGAGCCCACCAAAGCCAGAGTACTCAGCATCTTAAAAAGCTTCAGCAACAACGCCCCCCAACCGCGCGCGCGCGCGCGCACACAGACACACCCCGCCCCCAGGTAAATTCCAGAGTTTAAAATGAGGAGCTAGAAATAAACCACCTGCTTTGCCCACTGGTGTGCTAACTTTTCTATTTGCCAAGTCACAGGTTTCACCAGCAGAGGCTAGACATCACGCTGCTGAAATTTTTCTTTGAATATACTGCTAATTTTTTCCTGGCATTACAATATTTGCTCCATGAACATAACTCTAATATTCTGTCTGCACTCAAATACGTCTTAGTTCTATTAACATATACTGAATCAAGAATTCATTCACACCAAAAAAGTTTCATATCCAGACTATTAAAAATCCTTAGAGGAAAATAAAAAGGGCAGGCATGAGGTGCCATTTCTAAAGGCTTTATGAGCAATTCCTCATTTAATCATCACAGCAACCCTATGAAGAAGGTATTATCACCACCCTCTTTAAAACTGAGCCTTAATTTGTCTAAGTCACATAAGAAGGATTGGAGGAGTTTGACTCCAGAGCCCAAGCTTTTAACCAGTACAAAACTACACAGCATTGTTAAATGGAAAATACAAAGATTGTGTTTATTGTATGGACACACAATCACACAAAAAAAGGAGAAAATACAGCAAAATGTTAACAGTGGTTATCTCCTGAGCGTAGTAAGTAGGTCTGAGTGGGATGAATATGAGCATATATCACTTTTAGTCAGAAAAATGCAGACATGCAAATAAGAGAAATGGCATTTAGATGGAGCTAAAAGAAAAGTAAGGTGGGCTAGGGAATTAATATTTAATGAGCACCTACCAAGAGCCAAGCACACAGGCTATCTTATCTAACCCCTACATCAGAAACTGTTATTTACATTTTACAGATAAGGAAACCAAAGAAAGTGATAAAGTAACCACCCAGTAGGAAGAGCTGGGGTCAGAACCCAAAGCCCAGTCCAAATGTGCCTGACTGCAGGATACCATGCTTCAAATAAACTTTAACCAACCAAAACGGTATCTTAAAAAAATAAATCACATTCTGAAAGAATCAGAACCAAATAGCCTGGCATCTTAAGTGCAAGGAAGGAAAAGAGCAAGGCCTAAGGTTTAACTTTAAGCTTTAGTCAAAGAGTTATCTCTGCAAGTGTCTCAAAATAGCCAGCATTGTCTAAAATCAGCCATTACAGTCAGAACTCTGGGACTAACTTGTACCTGATGGAGTGGAAGAAGACTCCATTGCTGTTTGTTTTGCAAAGCACAGGGTTAAATTAGCATAAATAAAATACAACTTCTTAGTAAATGCAGTAGATTATCTGTTTTGGGGGGACAATTTGCTGCCTCCAACCCAGTCTCACCTATTCGTCCATTGTTTACAAGTTACCAGGTGTGTATGAGGAGGGAAGGTCTGAGAATTTTGCTGTTTTCAGATAGAAATGACCTCTCACTATCCATTAACTACTGTTTCAAACCTGGATAGTGACAGCTGCTTACCCATGGGAGAACATGAGTTATTTTTTAATGACATGTTTAATTTTGGGTGCTGTCAGAAATTTTTTAGTCATCTAAACTTTTATTTCTCTAAAACAGTAACACGATTTCCTGAGAAAAAATTGGGATGGGATATACACATTTTCTTAATCTTTCAGAGGAAAAAAAACTTAATTATATTAGGCTTATAAGTTAAAATCCACACCCACTTTTGAAATTAAACACTGAATAATGAAAAAGTATACTGCCTTAGTAATCTAAAATAATATTTGCCCTGAAACTCTTACTGGTTTCGATAAAATGTAACTTTTAAAATATCAAACCCACCATTACTTCAGGAATAAAGTAGCCCATGGAGCAATTACATTAGGAAATTAATATATGCTTGGGACAGGGTGGGAAAAAAGTACAAAACTTTACAGTATTTGAAAGGTTAGGAATGTGAAGTCGACAGTATACCTTAAAATTTTACATCAAATTATGAGACAGATTTTTTTAACCTTACAATGCTCTCAGAGACTCATGATGATTTTTTTTCATCGAGTAGCTCTAAAAATAAGGACAAGCGATAACAGAAGTAACAATCTGGGGTATACAAGTATAAGAAGCCCAAGTCAATAAGCAATTTTAATTAATAAAAGATTAATGTAATTTGCTTATTTGTATGAAATCCACACAATCTCAAATATCTAGCTTTTCTTAAATAAAATGCTAAATGGCTGGTATCTACCATTGCAGAGAAACAGCAGGAGTTTTATTTAAGGCAGACAAAAGGAAAAGAAAAACACCCTTAGTACGAATCACAGAAGGAGTCTCACTTCCACGCCTGACAGAAGTCAGCACGACCAAATCCTGGGTTATCCATACTTCTGCAAGTGCCAGCTTTTCCCAGGGTAATAGTGCTCTGGGGGCTGAGTGGTCAGGAACGTGGAGCACCTCTGCCAGCCAACTACAGCCTGCTATCAGGTAGGACCCACACACACAAACACAATATACGGCCCTACGTCCACTAAAAAGAGGAAAAAAAGAAGAAATGTAAAGCGAAAAAATAACCACTCCCAACAGGCTCACACCGGGGGGCTGTTAGCTGGGGGCAGGGTACATTAACATTTCAACTTCCATACTAAAGAACAACCAGAAGGAGGTTAAGTTGTAGCCACAGGAAACATCCCATTTCTGAAAACCAGGAAATCTAGATTTGGAAATTAAAGTTTTCAACGTCTTTTTTTTTTTTTTACTTTCAAAACTCATGGCACCAAATTCTGCTAAAACTGAATCCGTTTAAACGTAGGGGGACAAAAAAAAAAAAAACATACCAAAACCACACTGTGTCAGCTATGTTCAGTTCCCTGAGGGCTCTTCCACAGCCCCTTCCGAGTTGTGGCAATAACTAGTTCCCTTAAAATCCCCACTTTTCTATTTCTAGGGTCGAATACAAGAGTATCGCATAAATCCAAATAGTTATCATCAGAATAACTAACTACTGATCCTTAAACTGTAGACCTCGTTCCAGGAACTGCCCTGCTCACCCCTTCTCCCTCCCTCCCGTTTAATGCTTCCAAGCATTCTGACAACCAGGATCTCCCCCTTGGGTTCAATTCATGTGTTTATTTTACCGGACGGTGACCAAATAGGACCGGAAACTCCTACATCTGGGGGCTGCTCCAGACATTCTGCTCCCTCTCACTGACAGTCTCCTCACCGCTCCCCACATCTTTTCCCTCTGCAGGGGCTTCTCCAGCAAAGGGGGCTCGAGACCCACGAGAGTCCGGGATGAGGAGGAGGGTGGGTGCTAAATCTGGAAACACCCCCGGTTTCTGGGGAAAGGGCTAATAAAAAAGGCGATTAGAAAACCTGCCCGGTAGAAATATCACCTGAATTTACCTCCACCTTTCCCATAGCAAAAAGCTCAGTTACTAACAAGTCAGCTAAGAAAAATCCCTGGAAAAGTTTTCCAAACGGAAAGAGAAGGCCGTCTCCCCAGCCTGGGGGTTCGAAGGGAAAGGGCTGGAGTTCGCTGCCCTGGAAGGGCTCGGGGGGAATGGGGTGGGGCGCGGGCGAGGGGTGCAGGGGCGGAGTACCTTCAATGGACGGAAACTGGCAAAGAGTTTCAAAATAGCCGAGGCTCTCCCCCTCGCCCTCGGGGGTCGCGAGCGCTGGGACCAGAACTCCCCGAAGGAGGGCAGTCCCCAAATCGGGCCTAAAAGGAAACTTTCCGGGCCGCGGCTGCACCTGACTCTCACCGCCCCTCCACCCCACCCCACGCCCGCCAGGCCGCCCGCCCCGCCCCGGCCTGGACGCCCGCAGCGCAGAGGAGGGGGATAAATAAATGCAACTATTACCGGAATCGGGGTTGGGGGGCGGTTGGAGGAGACCGAAGGAAGGGGTGGGTCGGCGCCCAATCCCCACTCCTAGGCCCTGACGCCCCGGCTTCCGAGCACGGGCCTGCCACCCTGCGGGAGAGCCTTCCGGCCGCCGCAGCACTCGGCCCAACTGCACCGCCGTCCCGCCCGGGGTCCCCGGGGGACGCCAGGGGCGCGGGGAGCCCCGCAGTGCTGGGGGCAGGGCGCGGCCGTCCTGGGACCCGCCGGCCGAGGCCTAACCGGCGCTCCCCACCCCCCGTCCCGGCCCGCGCAGGCCGCGCCGCTCGCCCCGCTCCGGTCCCCCGCCCGGCCGCCCGCCGTCTTCGTCCGAGGGCACCCCGGGCCCTCAGGCCCCCAGCCCCAGCCGCCCCGGCGCCGTCCCCTCTCACCCTTTCATTCTCTGTCCGGGGCCTGGCGCGGGCCGGCTAATCCCCGGCCTCACGTAAGCGCGCTCGCCGCCCGCCCTGCCTGCGCGGCCCTGCCCGCCTCCCTACGGGAGCCCGGGGATGTGGGCCGGGCCTGGGGCCGCCTCTGCTTACCTTTCAGCTGCTTTTTTTTTTTCTCCTTCCCCCCTTTTCCCTCGGCTGGGCTGACAGATCAGAGTGAGAGGCGCTGGCGACGGACTAGGAATCTCGGCTGCCGCCGCTACTGCTCCCCCTGGGCTCCGGAGAGAGCCTTTCCCTGTCCAGCAAGAGGGGTGAGGATCATATTTTTATTTTGGAAACTAAAAAGTGCTCCCAGGGTCGGTGATTATTAAGGGGAAATCCCTGAATATACTCTCCAGCCAAGAAGGCAGGGCTGCCGGGGCTGCACAAGAAGAGGCGGCAGCCTCCTACAGCACCACTACAGGCACTGCGAGGACATAACACCAGAGAGCCGCTCCTCTGCCCTCCGAAACGACAACTTTCCTACCATCTTGGAGGCAGAGGAAAGGGGGGCCGGGGGGAAAAGTGCACCCGCTCCCGATAAAGTACAAATTTCTGCTTCTCATCTCTGGGAAAAAGTCCACACCGGCTCCTGGGGGAAAACGCAGGGAAGAAACTGGGGGTCCTTAAGAAACGTTTTCATTTGCACCAGGGGGAAAATGTTTCTGCATCTTCTGATGGGAAGAAATCTTTACGAGACACAGGTTTTCCGGTGATTATTGTTTTCTATTTTCTATTTAATGTTCTCCATGTTAGTGACAGTGATATTTTAATTTTTTTTTCAGGCTGATAATGATTTTTCTCCATTGAACATCTAAGTTCTGTGTCTGGTGGTCCGTGTATAAATTGTACTTGAAGAGACTGCATAGCCACTTTATCTCTGTTGTATGTTTTTGTAATGTATTTATTTGTTTCTTTACGTATAAAAATTGGTGTTACATACTCCCCTCAGAACATTGCTGAAAGACAATTGTGAAGGGATGTCTTTTGTCTCCTTTTGTCAAAGCAATGTAAATAAAACCTATTGACCATCCAGAAAGGCATGATACAGCTGTTTATTTTCAGAGTGCAAATAAAGGCAATATCACTGGGGGGTTAAATACGAGTATAAATGACCACATTTCTGGAAATAATCCTAATTCTGTTATGGTCTGCCTGTGAAGAAATGTTACTGTAAAATTGGAAATGATTTTAAAGAGTTTTAGATTTCCTTTAAGTAAAATTGTTTATTAAGAGTTACATCCTGGCAGTTAATTTTTAAAGTTTTATTTAGATTCTGTAAGGTTTAGATTTTTGGTGCATTACACATGTTGCTATCCTTTCTGTGTCACAGAATTGAAAACTGTGCCTATTTTTGTTAAGAGTTGAAGCTTCAGAACTTCCAGTGTGCCACCAGCCAGTATAAATTACTTTTACCATATTACAACGGATGTCATGAATCTGCTTTTTTAAATGAACAAAACTTAGTGGCTAAATAGAACCAAAGCCACACAATACTGAGGTAGCACAGAGGTGAGAGAAGGCTACTGCCTACTTGCAAAAATTCCAGTGGAACTCTTATGAGAGGAAAATAAATCTCAGAGATACTGTATTTTTTGTGAATAAAGAGGAATTCTAGAAAATGACCAGATGATATTTTTGTATGTTTTACAGGGACAGATGAATCTTGTGCTCAAAGTTATTTTTCTCACACATGTTGGCTAATGGTGAATGAATTTATTACATAGTGCCTTGGATTAGAATTACTAATTTCTTTTCATTTAAAAATATTGCAAAGAAAGCATTTAGAAATAATGGATACTCAACTTAAAATATTTGTTTTTGAGCTTCCAAATTTAGAAATTCCATAATGTTGAAGTGAGTTCAGGTAATGCATGTATCAGTTATTAGTTCATACCCCCAATTCTATCATCTGAATTTGAATACAGTATAGCTGAATAATCTAGGTTTTCTTTGTATTGTGTTTTGTTTTCCCTTTGGTAGAAAAATCGAAAGCAATTAACTGATTTTTATCATCTTGTAAACTTCAGTTGTGCAGTTGTGTTGTATTTACCTTTTTTTTTTTTAACATTTCAAGATCAAACACGCTGGTCATAGGGAAATTAGTTCCCTTAATGTAGAACTCTAGTGGACTTGAAAACATGTTTTCGAACAACTTGTTCCTTTTATATGACAAGGCTTTGTAGATATGCTTTGAATTTTTCAAGAAGTTAAGATGTTTGCTTTAAGCTGACTGCACTCTTATGCAATCCCTCTTGTGACCAACAAACCTGTTTGCATGATGTCTATCCGGGGATAGGGATATGGTGCATAATCTTAGCATCAGTGTCTTTTCTTTATAAAGCTTAACTTGTACACTGCTATAGTCCATGCTGTTTATCACCAGCTGAGCTAAATAGCCCAAACTTGGGGAATTACAGCCCAACCAAGAAGGAAATCCTGCTACATTTGCAACATTGGTGAATTTCATTGGTCACTGTTTATTTTAGTTGATACCTGAACTCAGGAGCTGTTTCTAATTCCTAGAAGTTGCAGGTGCTAACAAAATTAGGGATATAATTAAATAACCCTATTTTGCCCGGTAAAATTTTCCATACTCAAACTTGACTAACATTTTTGAACACTTAATGCATCTTGTTAACCTTGCTGGATGCTTTTTTATCTGTGCTCTCATTTAATTCCCCCAAGAGCTCAAAATGTTATTGTTGTTTTTCTTTCCTCCTCCTATCTCCTATTTTTCTTCTTCTATTAAATAAAATTGGGATCACTGTCTGTCATTTTCTTTCAGGGAGTATAGACTTTGGCCCTAAAGCTTTCCAATAAGATGCCAAATTTTGCTCTAGAGTTTCTGAGATCTATATCTGGAAATGCTGTGTTCCTACCATATACTCTTTACCAAAAACAAACTGCAAAGCCAGGAGTTGGACCCCTTTTTATCTATTAGTGGCTTATTTCACCTTGATGAGGTCTAGTACCTAAGTATACCCATTGTTTTGAGGAATGCAAAAATATGTATTTGTCGATTGAAATGCACTGTGATTAAGACTTCCTTCCTGGTCCTGAAAATGAACAGTATATGTTGTAAAACACTAGCATAATTAGAAATGTTACCTGCAATTGTAAAACGACACTATTTTTTTAAAGATCTAGTTAATGGATGACAGTGACTTGTAGCCATGAGTGCCAAAGTTTTACCTATGTTGTACTTGAAGCAGTAGTGGCTTTTACTTTTTTATGTTATTATGCCTTAATTCCCAAGTAGCTTATTTGGCTTTTAGTTGAAATAGGAAAGCTAGTCTTAATATTTTTACTATTTTTAGAATCTTTAATTGATGTGCCTTTTGGTATTAATGATTTTAATTTTGTAAAAATAACCACCTTATTGTGAACACTATGCTGAAGTTATTAAGAAAATATCACCTATATCTTTAAAAGATCTCATTCATAGACCGGTTGATTTAAAGTGAAAGATTTGTACATGTTTAATATAAACATGTCCTTAAGCAATAAGTCCATGCCTTTATTGGCAGATGTTTGCTGACAGCATCACCAAGTATTTAAAAAGACACGATAGCAGACAAGGTATTACAAACTTAGGGAAGTGTTTGGAGGAGTAAGGATGTGGATATAAACCTTACCTAGTCATACAAAAGTTTTCTCTAACATTTCTATAGGCAGACTCTGAAGTTATACCAAGAATCCCTAGCTAATGTAAAAACTCCCAAGGAGGTGAAAAGGTAGAGGTGTGGGGTGTGTAGAGAGCCTTCAAGTTTTCAAAACCACTATGATGGCCATAGACACATTTTTTTCACATTAAGTATTTCTGTTTTGGAAACATTTGTGGGTGATGTTTCTATCTAAAACAAAAGATTTTGGTTTTATTTTGTTAGTATGACTTGCAAGAAAATGTTCTTGAGACAAGCAGATGTCTACATCATAGCTTTGGATTATTTGAGTATGAAGTTTCTGTAATATAGATTAAACTATAGTTAAAGTAGACTGATCAGGTAATTAATCTCCAAATTCTAACACAACATTGAGACCTGGGAACTATGACCTGATGTTAAGCCAGAAACCAGGAAAGTCTTTATTTAAATCCCACAAGGGCCAAAAGGTATCCAGGAACCAGATGTCACTGGCAACAGCAGAGGCAAGATGTATCCCTGATGCCATTTCACTGCCTTACTAATCAGGGTGCAGGCCGATAATGTGAGGACATAGCCAAGGCTATAAGCATTCCTGGGCCATTCTCTGACTCCTGACCTTGGACGAAAGAAAACAACTCTCAACTGAAGTCATGTTTTAAGTAATGATTATTAGTAAAAAGAAACACCCTAAAGCAGTATCAAAGACTAGATTTGGGTAGAATTATTAAGTTACAGTCACCCTTTTCTATAATTTATAATGAAAGAACTGTGTCTGAAAAGTACTGGTTAGCTAAAACACTGTAGTAAGAAGAGAAATCCACAGAGTCCTCAGTATAATAGGCAGAAGTCAACACAAAGGTAAAAGTGTTCATTTATGCTACATTCCTAATCAAGCAAGCTTTTGTAGACCCTCTGGGAACTTAACCACTATTTCCATGGGAAAATAAACTTAAGGTTCCAGACAACTAATTTACAGTGATGTTCTTAACACAGCCTGTTAATAAGTTTGAACTTATACTAATGTTTTTGCCATGTATGTTACAGACTAACAAAATTCAATAGTAAGGGTGGGAAAACCCTCTCATTCAATTAAAGAGTAACTATTAACACAGTTCACACAGCTTTATTTAAATTCAGGTAAGGAAGATTATTGAGGATGTAAAGTGCTAAGGCCAGTTGTACACCAGGAAAGATGAAAAGACCTGTCAGTAACTAAAAATTGTACTATTTACCTTAACTGTATGCATTGGTGTTTCTGTTTTATGCATATAAAACAGTTGGGTGCTGTATTATGTCATGATACGTATTTGCATTTTATTTTATTCTTAAGAGAAACCAGAAAGAGAAAGAAGTGCAGGGACAGAATAGACACAATTCTACTAAAAATTATTACCCTGACTTACCCTTCTATTAGCCTGTTGCTGTTTTTGCCCCACCCAGCAAGCCATGGCCTCTAGTCTTGATGTCTCTGGTAGCTCTGCCAGTTAAATCCTACTCTGCTTTGATGACTCATTCAAATCTTGTCATCTGGTGGCATCTGAAGCCTTCTGGTGCCAACCTGAGCCTGCAGTGACCTTATTCTTACTTTAACGCCTTGAGATGTTTCCTAGGGTTTTTTGTTTTTCTACCTGTGTCCCGCTTGTGTAAGAGGGCTGTAGTGGTAGGAACTCAATCTTCAGTCAGGGCCATCAGGCTTAGAAACTTGGCTCTACCACTTTCCCTGGTAGTGTGACTTTGGACAAGCTATTTAACCTCTCAGTTCCTCATTTGTAAAAACAGAAATCATGATAGTACCTACCTTATTGTGATGTCTGAGGATTAAATGGCACAGTGCGTATAAGGCACAAGGAAAGTTCTGCAGCACACAGTGAGTGCTATATAAAGGTCAACTATCCTTTTGGTTGCTTGCCAATAAACACCTTCCAGGCAGTATGGCTCAAGGTCAGGAAGTACTGTATTATTTTTGTTTTGTTTTTAAACACCACCAAGACAGTGGACTTAGCACTAGTCATAAGTTTAATTCAACATAGAAAAGGATGAAAGAAGATGAGGATTATGGCACACC